GACTGTTTTGACAAAGGGTGTGAAAAATGTGTGAAACAAATGAAAAAGTGTTAAGGCATTTGAAAGAGAAGACTTCTCCTGTGCTAAGAATGTGATGATGAAGATCAAGTGAATCCCAGTTTCACTGAGCGTGTCTTAGCAAATGAGAAAAACTGTAACCTTCCTATGGTGTTCGGGTCGGCACCGACCCCATTTTATATTTAAAATGCATAAAAGCGCCACATAAATTTGTGTACTGCATCAAGGCTTTTTGACTTTGTCCGGAACCCCTATTTAAACAAAACAAAACAAAAAAATCATTAAATTATAAATGCTCTGGTCAAGATTATAACAGCTCTGGTGTTAGGGTCGGCACCGACCCGTTTGTAAGTTTAAAATGCATAAAAAGCACCACATAGATTTGTGTAGCCTACTGCATCAAGGCTATTTGACTTTCTCAGGAATCTCTATTTAAACAAAATAAATTAAAACAAAATCAAGGCAAGTCATGCCCATACACGTAAGGGTAGATAAGACCAATTCAGGTCATTTATATATTTCTCTTGAGGTTTATTTTACCATTATATTTTTTATTGAAAATGAGAGGTATGCTGTTAAAAGAAAGGTCCAGAAAGTCACACCAAAATATTAAAACCAATCTTTTCATGGATAAGGAAGCTTAACAAAGTAACCAAGAGGTAAGAAACCAGTTGGATGATAAATAATTGTTTTGAGGGTATTTTATGGCTGATTTAAGACACGGGTCGGCACAGACCCATCTAACATAAGAGACAGGAACAGAAAGCTAACACAGGACTAAGGTTAAGACTGAATTCAGTTACTCTTTTCCATTGTATTTTAGCATAGCTGCACAGACAACACGCGGTAAACTGATGCTCTGCGCCTGACCTGATGCGCAGCTGCAGTTATCCTGTTAAGCGCCAAAACGAACCGCGTGACATTTCGTGCTACAGAGGCAGCGTGTGTGAAAGTCTAACACTAGAGTAATTGTATGACAGTGAACTGAACAACTGACTTATGCATGGAATTTCTACGGATTTCTGGGCAAACGTTGCGCCTTCATGAGGTTGGTACTCCATGTGATCAGAATATGAATAAAACTGTTTCAACTGATTTGTTGAAACACTTCACATTGTGATGTGGATGTCAATGAGGTGCGGAGTACACTGCTTTAAAAAGTAATATTTCAAAAAAAAAAAAAATTGTGCATGCGCCATGTTTACTTAGCCTGATAAAACTAATAGACTTATAAACTGATGCAGCATTGTCTTTTACACTTCGTTTGCTAGTCAAAATATATTTTAATTTTGAGAAGTGTGGAAAAAATGGCTAATTATAAAAAAGAAAGAAAGATTTATTTACATTTATACATTTATAACACTAGTAAAGTGAAGTATGACTGATACCTCTGTTATAACTCTGGAATTAGCTACCTTAGTGTCAGTGATAGTGGATTCTAACAGACCTTTATTTGCAGGTGGATTACTGGTTTTATGCCAACACAAGCATTTCTGCTGGACTTTCATTGTGTTCCTTTTAGATTTAAGGTAAGTTTAGTTAGTGGGGCACTAACACACACACAAACACACACACACGCACACAGCTTACAAGGATTCCCTCAATAAGGCTAAATCAGTTTATTATTCCTCACTCATTACTGTACAAATGGTCATCCTAGGGCTCTTTTTTCTACAATTAATAACCTATTCCAACCTCCTAGATCTTTTCCACTTTTGCCTTCAGTTGATCTCTGCTGTGAATTCCTTAACCACTTCCAGAATAAAGTTAGTTCTATTTATTGCCAGCTCCAGACATCATCGATTACAGCTAATCTGAGTGAGGATTCTATGTTTTCAGTTCAGTTAACTCAATCATTCTCTGCTTTTACACCCATAGATGAATTTACTATCTATGACCTTGTCTCAAAATCCAAGCCCACTACATCTCTTTTGGATCCCATGCCCCCTCAACTAGTGAAGTACTGCTTGCCTGCCCTTTGTTCGCTCATTGCACAGATAATAAATTCATCCCTTTGTACTGGTACTGTTCCTAGTTCATTTAAAACTGCAGTCATCACTCCTGTCCTTAAAAAGACCGGGACTGCAGCTGATGATCTTTATAACTATCGTCCTATCTCCAACCTCTCTTTCATTGCAAAATTGCTTGAGCGTACTATTGCCTTACAGCTACAGGATCACCTAATGAAAAATAGTCTTTGGGAAGAATTGCAGTCTGGTTTTAAACCTAAGCATAGTACAGACGGTCCTAGTCAAGGTCGTCAATGATCTGCTGCTTGCGGCTGACACAGGTCATGTCAGTCTCCTCCTTTTACTGGATCTTACTGCTGCATTTGACACAGTTTGTCATAAAATTCTGCTCAGCCGTATGGAAACTCTGGTAGGCATTAAGGGTATACCACTTTCCTGGTTCACCTCATATTTTATTGACAGGGAACAGTTTGTGTCCATTGATAGCTTCATGTCGCACAGGGCACCATGCACACACGTAGTCCCCCAGGGTTCTTGTCACGTCCAACTCCGTCCGATCCTCATGTGTGCCACGCCCCCTCATTACCCCGTGTTTCTACCTGATTGCTCTCACCTGTCTCTTGTTAATACCAGCTAGTCTTGTGTATTTAGTCCTCGTCTGAGTCAGCCTTCCCCAGACTTGTCATTGATGTTTGCCATCGTTCTACCCCGTGTTGTTGACCGTTTCCTGATTAAATCCCCGTTTTACCCGACTTCCTGGCTCCTCTCCCCTGCTTGCCTGTTCGCCCACCGATGATCGTGACAGCTCTGTCTTGGGCCCTCTTTTTTTTCTCATCTATATTCTTCCCCTTGGTCATATTATTCGTCCGCATGGATTAAATTTTCATTGCTATGCCGATGACACACAAATTTATATTCATTCAAATCCCTCTAACCTACTCTCTCCACCGGGCTTGGTAAGTTGTCTCACCGCCATTAGCACTTGGATGACACAAAATTTTCTCAAACTCAAGCATGACAAAACAGAAGCTAGTTTGATTGCCACACCAACCATGCTAAGCAAGATCAAGCACCTAAACCTGTCTATCCCTGGGTACTTCACCACTACTACCTCTGAAGTAAAAAATCTCGGAGTCACGATGGACTCAACACTTTCTTTTGATTCCCATATCAAACTCATCACCAAAACAGCTTTTTTCCATCTCAAAAACATATCTAGAATACGAGCTTCTCTTACCTATAACTCTGCAGAGACTCTCATCCATGCCTTTATAACCTCCCGGTTAGACTACTGCAATGCCCTGCTATTTGGCATTTCAGCTAAGAACCTTAGCAGGCTGCAATATGTTCAAAACTCCGCAGCACGTGTTCTTACGTCTACCAAATCCAGGCAACATATCACCCCTGTTCTACAGCAGCTTCACTGGTTACCCATTCAATATCGCATTCAATACAAAATTATTTTGTTAGTTTTCAAAGCACAGTATAACCTGTCACCTAGATATCTTTCTGATCTCCTAACTTCATACCAACCTACACGTACTCTGTGGTCCACTGATGCTCACCTTTCCACTGTTCCACCCACCCGTCTGCGCTTTATGGGTGACAGGGCTTTCAGTGTAGCTGGTCCTAAATTATGGAACTGTCTCCCCCTTGCACTTCGTCAATGCACTGAGCTTTCTACTTTCAAAAAACTTCTGAAAACTCATCTCTTTCTACTGGCTTTCCCTGAAATTACCCTGAAATTTTATCGGTGATGGATCAGTTTCCTTTTTATGTTGTAAATTGTTTTTATTTTTTTCTATTTTTATTCATTCTTATTTCTATTTTTAATTGTATTCCGGTATGTACTTATTTCACTTTATTATTTTTTGTGAGGCATGTTCTTATTATTATTGTATTTATTGTTTAGTGGTTTTACTCTGTTTCATGTACGGTGTCCTTGGG